ATATATATACATACATACATACATACATACATACATATGAATATATATTCATCTATTTACAATTCTGCACACAAATTCCTTCACCTTTGGTTAAAAAGTTTGAAAGCTTCCTCCCCTTTCGTATCCCTTATAGTTACAATTTCTTTCTCATGTTGTGAAAAACACACACACAAACACACCTTTGCATAAAAAGACACACCCTTTGCTCCTGTAAAAACGATGTACATTCCTTAACTCCCCCCCCCCCCCCCCGCGGGGAGTGGGCCGAGGGGAACACGATATTTTTTGACATTCTCCCGCACGGACATTGTAAGAAAGGTCGCTGACCTTCTCTCTTTTGTTTGTACACACACACACACACACACACACACACGCACAAGTAGTCTGACGGTGAAAGTTTACACAACTTGGGGAGGTGGGGTGTGTGGAAACAAAACCGAACCGACGTAAGCCGAACGTAAAACGTGTCCCTGTTTCGCACAAACCCCCGTCTTTTCCTTTCGCTCCGGGCTTTCTCGAGGCACTCCAACGTGTGTAACGACAACGACAACACAAACAGCAAGAACGACAACGGGGTTTGGGGTTGTTGTTTTTTTGTCTTTTGTTTTGTTTTTCTCCTAAAGTGATCGAAGCATCCTTTGGACCGCCTCACACCTGCCCTTTCGCGGAAGGAGCCTCTTCTCCTGGGCGACGTCCGCCGTTTTCATGACGCTAGTCCTCAACACGCCTTGGAGAGTTCCGGGACAGCGTCGACGGACGACAGGCGGTACTGCACCTTGGTGTTAGTGATGGCGCCGTGTTTCTGCCGGAGGTGCAGCCGGAGTTGGCTCTTGTGTCGGAAGTGCAAGTTGCACTTTTCACACTGGAAGGGAGGGGGGGAAAAAAGAGGCCATTGAAGTGGGTTGCGAGATAGATAGATAGATGATAGATAGAAAGATAGACAGATAGATATATAGAAGATAGATGATAGACAGATGATAGGCAGATAGATACAGAGAGAGAGAGAGAGAGAGAGAGAGAGATGATAGGTACATAATGATGATAGACTACATATATAGATGATAGATGACAGAGATAGATAGATAGATAGATAGATAGATAGATAGATAGATAGATAGATAGATAGATAGATGATAGATAGATAAAAAGATAGACAGATAGATATATAGAAGATAGATGATAGACAGATGATAGACAGATTGATACATAGAGATAGATAGATAGATAGATAGATAGATAGATAGAAGATAGATGATCTCTTCTTGAAAATCTCAAGTGACTAGATATATCTAAATGTATTATTATGATTAACAGGGTGCAAAGAATATACTGGAATATATAGTTTCCAAGGATTATAAATTCAGAGGATTTACATAATTGATTAAACTGATTAAATCTTATTAACAATTGGTTATATTGGTGGTGTTTATAGAAAGTTGAGATATTGAAAACGTGGTGGGCCACTGAGTGATATTTATAATATTAAAATATTAGTGACAACACTGGTTAATAAGTATATTGTGTGAAGAAATGTTATTGATACTACATATATTTTTTGGGGGGGGGAATGATAAAAAAAAAACCACAAAGAGAGAATAGTATTGTTTAAAGATAATGAGGTGAATAGAGAAAAACCCCAACGAATGGGAAAAAATAAAAGAAATAAATACCAATTGGGAAAATAGTACAGCATTGATCCATAAAAGAATATATTATAATTACAATGAGCATATCAAGGTCAGAAGGTAAAAACTCTGTATATGTAATTGTATTGTCACTGTTAACATTGTGTGAAAAATATATTAATCCAGTCATTGCACCGTCCACAAAAAAATGTTGGTTGTTAAAGGAAAACTACAAATAAAACATTTAAAAAAACAAAAAAAAAACACCAATGTCTCACTTAGCGATGGAAATTTTGGGCTCCATCGCGGTCGCCATTTAAGGATCACCTGTACCTGGCATGTTCCCGAGTGGGTCACAAAAAGCCAAGATGGCGGCCACGATGTCGCAGCTCAAGATGCCATCTTGATTTTGCAGTCACAAAAAATGACGCGCACACACACGGGGACGTTGTGGTCCCTTTTTGTAAACGGGGTTTGTGCGCGTGTGTTGTGTTGTTGTGCGAACGGACACAGCAAAGAAGGGAGGTTTTTTTTGTCTTTGCTTACATGGTAGGGCTTTTCTCCGGTATGGATTCTCAAGTGACTCTTCAGCGTCTGGAGGTGCCGGAAACGGGTGCCGCAGATCTCGCACGGGTAGGGCTTCTCCCCGGTGTGGATGAGCACGTGCGCCCGGAGGTGGGCCACCTGGGAAAGGCAGAGTCAGGCAGGTGTCCTGGGGGAGGAGGGGGGCACGGCTCCCTGACCCCTCCCAACCCATGTGAAAAACGTTTAGAAGGTGGGAGCTGAGAGTAAATAGATCACTCGATCCACATTTTGGCCCTTTGAAACATATTAGAATGATGGCAGAGAACAAACCAGTGGTTCAGTTGGTTGGCTTGCTTTTGTTTTGTTTTCAATGTATTCATTTATTATTTCTATTATTATTTTATTATTATTTTACTTTATTCTTCCTTTCTTGTCTGTCTGTCTCCATCTGTCTTATCTATCTATCTGTCTGTCTATCTATCTATCTATCTATCTATCTATCTATCTATCATCTATCTATCATCTATCTATTGTATTTATTATTTATCTATGTATCTGTAATGATTATCATCTATTCATCCGTCCATCCATTTCTTCTATCATCTATCAATCATTTTTTCTATTATCTATTAACTGTCATCAACCAACCATTTACCATATATCTATTGTTTCTATTACAGTATCATCAATCATATCTATGCATCAATATTTATGATCTAACAATATATTGTCTCTATCTAACCTGTGTCTATATCCATCCATCCATCCATCCACCCATCATCTATCTATCATCTATCTATCATCTATCTATCATCTATCTATCTATCTATCTATCTATCTATCTATCTATCTATCTATCTATCTATCTATCATCTATCACCTATCTAATCTGCCTGTCTGTGTCTATATCTATCCATCCATCATCCATCCATCCTATATCTATCTATATCTATCGATCTATCAGTCTATCATCTATGTTATCTGTCTGTCTGTCTGTCTTTCTGTCTATCTATCTATCTATCTATCTATCTATCTATCTATCTATCTATCTATCTATCTATCCATCCATCCATCTATCTATCTATCTATCTATCATCTATCTAATCTGTCTGTCTGTGTCTATATCTATCTATCCATAGATTAATCCTATATCTATCTATCTATCTATCTATCTATCTATCTATCTATCTATCTATCTATCTATCTATCACCTATCTATATCTGTCATCTATCATTATTATGTACCTATTATCTATCTATCATCTATCAATTATCTCTATCTACCTATCTCTATCTATGACTATCATCTCCCTCTCTCTCTCTTCACTCATCTATCATCTCTCTATAATTTAAAAACAATCTATCTCCGTCACA